CCGAATAGCCGAAAGCCGGTGGACGATGGTGCTTTATCAGCTAGGAAATAGCAGAGCGAGTCGCGCATTGTGACTGGCCGAGATTAAACCTATTGTTTTCACGCTTGCTCGAATCGAATAACCCAGGGGTGGGATGAGAAACAGGAACTCGTTTCGAAGCAGAGCTTCTCTGTTCATTTGTTGCCATCTACCCTGCAACACGTACATATATATATATATATGAAACAGCTTTGCTAATTTCCTGTAATAGAACTTCGCCTCTTACATCAACGAGCTACTTCTGTTAGCGGCCCTCTCGGTGGTGATAGATGACTTTATCGATGTGTATCGAACGGTTTTATCCCGGTTTCATCTCGTTATTGTTCGGAAGATTCATTTTATTTTTGCCTCGGCGGTCGAGTCAATTGATCGATACCTCGCTGAAACAGATAACATTTGCCGCGCGGACTTTCTGTTTATTACGGTGTTTCATCGCGGAACTCTCCGCGTGTAAACCGTGCGAAACGAATAAAAACGAGCCGCTTCTTTATGAATTGAAAGCTGCACTTCGCTCGCGAGGAGACGAAAGAGCAGGCCACTATTGCGCGCGCGTAATACTGTTTTCGTAATACGGCGCGTCCCTGCGGGCCGGGTTGCGCATTTTTCTAGGAAAAATTCCGCTCTGTTGACAGAGGGAGGAGCAATTACCGGAGGATAATTCATAAATCGACGCCGACTGAAATGACTTATTCTCTATAATCTGTCCAGCAGGGATTACACTGAACGCACTAGGCGAAAGTTTCATCGGCCGAAATGAACCCCTAAATCACTCAGACGCGATTTATTATTGTTATTACGCCGCGAGGAACAGAGGAGCGGACAAAAATCGAGAGACAGATAGACAGAATGGCGGACATGGAAGGGAGAAACAGGATTGGCGTTAGTGTTTACCGGCCGTTTCCCGCGGGAATCAACCCGTTGGTAGCACTGAATGGCACTATCTACTTTGCCCCGTTCGCCGGTTCGCAGCAGCCGGCAATGTTTCAAACTCCCTTCCTCTCTTTTCCTTCTTTTTTTCTTTTCTCTTTCTCTCTCTCTCTCTCTCTCTCTCTCTCTC